CTCGTGGAGGTGGAGGTGCTGTGGGCTCAGGAGTGGGGAGCCCTTCCTCTCAATAAGGAGGAGGCACTGCTGATACCAATTCCTGCCGTGATTCTTCTGGTGTTGGCTCAGACAGGACTTTTGGCGCCAACTTCCCTCGGTGGGTGGACTGACAACCTTCCTTAACTAACTGTCCCTTTGCTACTAGTACTGCTGCTGCCTGTCCTCTTAACCACTATGGGGGATCTAAAACTAGCTATAACCAAGACTCTATATACAGGAACTGATCTGGGTCCCCTGGCTTACAGGTTACCCTGTGCCATACCTTCGAGACAAAGGATCTGTCCAGGCTTCCTTCTGATGGCCAACCCACCTCTAATGCTGGCCAGTCTATCTCACACAAAGTTCTAAGTTTTCCTGGTGTCATAGTAACTCCATAGTCTCCCTTAAATCCCTTTTTGAAATTTTTCAACATAGTTCCTAGTGGGATAGGCTTACTTTGTGCCTGACCCATGTTTCCTTGAGACAAAACACCATGTTCACACCACATGCACACCACAAAACAAAGAACGGGTAAAGCGGGCACACACACACTTTTACAGTTTACACCAAACCAGAATCAAAACCAAAATCAGTGTATCAAGAAATCCAAGCCAGGTCAAAACCAAAACCAAAGTATCAAGCAATCCAAGTCAAGTCAAAAACAAAAACCAAAGTGCCAGTACAGACACGTCATGGGTGATTAGGCCATGCTTCCACTCAAATGGAGTGGCTAAGTTCCAAAGACCAGTCTTACCAAATTTCAGATGTCCGGACTCTAAGTGCCAGTTCCTTCCTGGTATTCAGCCACTGCATTGATCCTCCACAGGGGCCTGCCATGCACTGCTCTGGTGAGGCATTCCACTGGGGCAATTGCCTACCTGGGAGCACTCTCAGGATCCACGTCGCTCAAACTGACTGGAGTCCCCCACAGGGATGTTCCACAGGGCAGGCCTAAGCCACCTAAGGGGCTGCCTCGACCATCCATTAATCACCTCGCTTCCCGGTCAGGGAACCAAGAAATGTAGCAGGATGAGCCGCACACAAGAACCCCTCAGACACCGAGTTGTGGAAGGGCTTTATTCAGCTGGGAGCGTTGGTGGACTCATGTCTCCAAAAACGGAGCTCCCTGAGTGAGCAATTCCTGTTCCTTTTAAGGCTTACAATTCTGAGGGGGTCCGTGTGAGAGGGTCGTGATCGATTGAGCAAGCAGTGGGTATGTGACTGGAGGCTGCATGCACCAGTAATCAGAATGGAACAGAACAGGACAGGGATTTTCACAGTGCTTTTCCATACGATGTCTGGTATCTATAGATAACATAACCGGCTAGGTCAGGGGTCAATTTTTAACTACCAGGCCTGGAATGCATACTGACTACTGATTTCACTTCTGTCTTTTCTTTAACTCCTACTTTTTCTTTGAGGCAGAAATTGGTCATAAGACAATATGAGGGGTGGTCTCCTCCCTTAACAATATAGCCAAGTTCTTTGCTAAGGCATATAACAAGGGTGACGTTTGCTGTAGTTCCTAATAAATTTCTCATGTCCATCTGAGGCCTCTTTAGCCTGGACTTCACTGTCCATGTCAGTATCAGCATTTTGATCAGCATTTGGCCATTTAACCAGTCTCTAAGAAGTTTCAAACTTCCCCTCATCTTCCTCTCTTCTTCTGAGCCCTCCAAATGTTTCTATCCTCTGCCCATTTCCCAGTTCCAAAGTTGCTTCCATAGTTTCAGGTATCTTTATAGCAGTGCCCCATTCTTTGGTACCAATTTTCTGTGTTAGGCAATTTTTGCACTGCTGCAAAGAAATACCTGAGACTGGGTAATTTATTCTAAAAAGATATGTTAATCCAAAATCTCTGAGACAGGTCTCAGTCAATTTAGAAAGTTTATTTTGCTTCCATGACACAGCCTCAGGAGGTACTGATGACATGTGCCCAAGGTAGTCAGGGCACAGCTTGGTTTTATACATTTTGGGGAGAAATGAGATATTAGTCAATATATGTAAGATGTACACTGGTTCACTCTGGAAAGGTGGTACAACTCGAAGTGGGGAGGGGGCTTCCAGGTCATATGTAGATAAGAGACAAATGGTTTGCATTCTTTTGAGTTTCTGATTAGCCTTATCAAAGGAACCAATCAGATATTCATTTATCTCATTAAGCAGAGGGATGACTGAATAGAATAGAAGACAGACTTGCCTTAAGCAGTTCCCAGCTTGACTTTTCTCTTTAGCTTAGTGATTTTGGGGTCCCAAGATTTATTTTTCTTTTGCAGAGGCTTGGCTGGGCATAGTGGCTCATGCCTGTAATCCCAGCACTTTGGGAGGATTGCTTGAGGCCAGGAGTTTGAGATCAACCTGGGCAATGTAGTGAGACCCTGTCTCTCAAAAAAAAAAAAAAAAAAAGAAGTTTAATTGATTCACAGATCTGTAGGGTGTATAAGCATGGCACTGCTATCTGCTTGGCTTCTGAGGAGGCCCCTTCAGGGAGCTTGTACTTTTGGCAGAAGGCAAAGCAGGAGCAGGCTGTCACATGGCAAAAGCAGGAGCAAGAGGGTGGGGTAAGGTGCCACACACTTTTAGACAGCCAGATCTCACAAGAACTCACTATTGCCAGAACAGCACCAAGCTGTGCAGGCTCCATTCCCATAACCCAAACACATCTCACCAGGCCACACCTCCCACATTGGGGATTACAATTCAACGTGAGATCTAGAGGGAACAACATCCAAACTATATCAGGCACCAATAGGAAACTAACATAGAACAGGTTTCTGAGTAGATCCAAGGCCATATTCCAGAAACAATAAGAACTGTTTCTTGGTATTTCTGTTATTCAGAAATTTAATGTGTGTATTGCTGAACCATTATATTTGACCATCTTCAGACAATCATTCATCCATGAAAATATATGTCAATTTCAAGTGCTTCTCATTGACTATTTTTTGGATCATCTAGGTACTAGATGTACTAGATTTGGATCATCTAGGTTACTCATCAGTCATTAAGAGTAACCTATACAAGGGGAGGTCCAATTAAGTGAAACTTACAGGGAGGGTAATGTCACTCAATATAAGGGAGAATTTTCTGTTAAAGCCATTCAAAAAGACATTGGGCTATATTTGGAGGTTTGTATGGCAGGATCTAAACAATTACTTGGTAGAGATGTTAAAGAGAATGTTCATGCATTGGTTGAGTTGTTGGATGAGGACAGATTTTATTCTTGAATCCTAAGAACCCAAGGGGTTGTGAGGAAGAAGCATCACTGAAGATTGGGTGGGACTCTTGTGTATTGATGTGCAAATTATTCCTGTACAGCGTCTCTAGCCAAGACTGAAACCGCCAATAGAATCTAGCTCACACTTTGTTTGCCAAGCTGTGCATTCTGGCTATGGGGCTGCTGTGCCCTGAGGTAGCAGTAGCCTTTGGCTAATTCATATAAAGGTATTATCTACTTGATAAGATGTATGCTTGAAGGGCTGCATTCACCCAAAGAAGGCACTTTTTTTCTAATTTGCAGAAAGGTACTGCACAGGCCAGCACAAACCATGGGACTAGGGCTATAGGAGATGGTTTCTTGGAGTTGGTGAAGGCAAGACAAGGATACATAAGAAAAAGAAACTAGAAATCAATAGCGGGAAGAAGTTGGGAAACTGTACAAATACATGGACATTAAACAACATGCCCCTGAATAACAAATGGGTCAATGAAATTAAGAAGGAAATCAAATTCTTGAAACAAATGAAAATAGAAATACAATATAGCAAAACCTATGGGATAAAACAAAAGTGGTACTAAGAGGAAAATTTATAGCAAAATTTTATTTAAAAAGTAGACAAATGTCAGCCGGGCGCTCACACCTGTAATCCCAGCACTTTGGGAGGCCAAGGCGGGCGGATCACGAGGTCAGGAGAATCGAGACCATCCTGGCTAACACGGTGAAACCCCATCTCTACTAAAAATAACAAAAATTAGCCAGGCGTGGTGGCAGGCGCCCGTAGTCCCAGCTCCTCAGAGGGTGAGGCAGGAGAATGGCATGAACCCGGGAGGCGGAGCTTGCAGTGAGCCGAGATCATGCCACTGCACTCCAGCCTGGGGACAGAGCCAGACTCCATCTCAAAATAAATAAATGAATAAATGAATAAATAAATAAATAAAATTTAAAAATAAATTTTTAAAAAGTGGACAAATATCAACAATCTAACAAGGCACCTTAAGGAACTGGAAAAGCAAGAACTGCTTTAACCCAAAATTAGTAGAAGGAAAGAAAGAATAAAGACCAGGGCAAGACTAAATGAAAAAAAAAAAAAAAAAAAATGCAAAAGATCAACAAAATAAAACGTTGTTTTTTGAAAAGATAAATAAAATTGACAAACCATAAGCTAGACTAAGAAAAAAGCGAGAGAGAAACCAAATGAGTCAGAAAACGAAAAGAAGGGAAGGGGGTTATATTATTAATACTTTAATCCCAGTCTGACTTCTCCAGTCCCTTAGCTCACTTCTGAATTGTGCTACTCCCAATTGATATATTCTAATAGCATATCTAGTTGGGAAGAGGAAGTAGTACATGAATAAACTAATAAATGAGTTTCCATATTTCAGAGCTAAATAAACATCTCCTTTGGGAGGTCACTGTACAAGTTGGCAGCAAATGGAGAAAGCAAGAATCTTTAAGTATCAGAGATCAAAGGGAGAGGATGTGTCCACTCAAGGCTTTTATAGAGAAGGCAGAGCATTTCTCTCTGATTTGTAAGGCTGGTCAACTACCCAAATGTGTAAGGATAGATAATGCCAGTGTCCTCAGAGGCACAGGAGATATACACAGGAATCTAGCTAAAGCAGTTTCTGTATTCGTAGAAGAGTCCCAGCTAGCCAGGACTGTTCTTGATGTTGCAGACAGTCCAGGTAGCTAGATCTGTCTGGAGGCGACTTTGGAGCTGGACAATATGCAGATCTGTGTCGTGTGTGTATTCCTCCAGGTGTCCTTTGAGATGACCCATGAGACCCTGTACTTGGCAGTGAAGCTGGTGGATCTCTACCTAATGAAGGCAGTATGCAAGAAGGATAAGTTACAACTCCTTGGAGCCACTGCCTTTATGATTGCAGCAAAATTTGAGGTGAGCCTGAGTCCCTATGGCCTGGAGAACTAATCAAGTTTCCGTCCAACCCAGTGAATGAATATATATTTATATATATTCATTGTTATGTGCTGCATAACAATGTTTTGGTCAATGATGGACTGCTTATACTATGGTGGTCCTGTAAGAGTATAATGGAGCTGAAAAAGTCCTATCACCTAGTGACATCTTATCTTTTGTAACGTTGTAATGTAATGCATTACTCATATGGTGATGCTGGTGTAAACAAACCTACTGCACTGCAAGTCATAAAAGTATAGCACATACAATTACGTACAGTACATAATGCTTGATAATGATATAAACTGTTACTAGTTTATGTGTTCACTATACTTTTAATTGTTTTATTATTATTGTATTAGAGACAAAGTCTCACTCTGTTGCCTAGGCCGGAGTGCAATGATGTGATCATAGCTCACCGTAACCTCAAACTCCTGGGCTCAAGCAATCTTCCCACCACAGCTTCTCGAGTAGCTAGGACTATAGGCATGCACCACAGTGCCTGGCTAAGTTTCAGAAATTTTTTTGTAGGGGTGGCGTCTCATTTTGCCCAGGCTGGTCTTGAACTCCTGGCCTCAAGCAATCCTCCTGCCTTGGCCTCCCAAAGCACTTGGATTACAAGTGTGAGCCACTGTGCCTGACCCGCTTTACAGTATACTATTACTTATTTAAAAAAAAAAAAAAAAAGTTAACTGTAAAATAGCCTCAGGCATGTCCTTAGGGAGGTTTTCCAGAAGAAGGCATTGTTGTAGGAGATGACAGCTCCATGCATGTTATGAGCCCTGAAGAGCTTCCAATGGGACAAGATGTGGAGGTAGAAGACAGTGATATTAATGATCTTGACCGTTTCTAGGCCTAGGCTAATGTGTGTGTTTGTGTCTTCATTTTTAATAAAAAAGTTTAAAAAGTAAAAAGTAAAGCTGGACATGGTATTTCAATGCCTGTAATCCCAGCACTTTGGGAGGCTAAGGCAAGAGGACTGCTTGAGCCCAAGAATTTAAGACCAGCCTGGAGAACAAAGTGACACCCCATCTCTACAAAAAAATAAAAAAGATTAGCTGGGTATTGTGGCACATACCTGTGGTCCCAGCTACATAGGAGGCTGAGGCAGGAGGATCCCTTAAGCCCAGGAGGTTGAGGCTGTAGTGAGATTTGTTCAAGCCACTGTATTCCAGTCTGGGTGAGAAAACGAGACCCTGTCTCAAAGAAAGCTTATATAATAAGGATATAAAGAAAGCAAATATTTTTATACAGCTTTATACTGTGTTTGTGTTTTAAGCTGTTATTACAAAAGAGTCAAAGTTTTATAAAATAAAGTTACAGTAAGCTAAGGTTAATTTATTATTGAAGAAAAAATATTTTTTATAAGTTTAGTGTAGCCTAATTGTACAGGTACAGTGTTTATAAAGTCCATGGCAGTGTACAGGAATGTCCCAGGCCTTGCCATTCACTCACCACTCACACACTGACTCACCCAGAGCAACTTCTACTCCCACAAGCTCCATTCATGGTTAGTGCCCAATACAGGTGTACTGTTTTTAAATCTTTTATGCTGTATTGTTACTGTACTTTTTCTATGTTTAGATAGGCTAAACAAATACCATTGTGTTATAATTGCCTACAGAATTCAGTAGAGTCACGTGTGTACAGGTGTGTAGCCTAGGGGCAACAGGCTATATACCATATAACCTGGGTGTATAGGCTGTACCATCTAGGTTTTTGGAGGTACACTCTTATCTGTGATCTTCCCACAATGATGAAAATGATGCATTTCTCATAACGTATCCCTCTTGTTAAGTGACACATAACTGTGAATACATACATTTATATGTACATATATACACGTGTATACACTTGTGTATATGTGTACTGATGTGTGTGTATACAGTTACATACATACAAATAATTTTTTTCTGCCACATTTTTTGTCCCTCTTCCCAAAGCAGAAAAGCTGGTGTTGGTTGGCAGTGGTGGTGCATTTGTTTCCTGGCATCAGCAAGGTTCTTCCATTTTCTAGTTGAAGATGTATTATGTGGGCATCCACCTAATTAAATGGGCAGTTCTTTTTACAGCTTCCTTCTGGTCCATGATTCTCTGCCTCCACCATTTTCTTGTTCTACCAACTCCATTCCCATCTGGTGGAGTCTCAATCTGCTTATATAACAAAGCATTGCCTAACCAGGGTGCTGGAGACATTTAAGAGAAAATGGCCTGGTGTTGATGGCAGTGAGTCTAAATGGTCCAGGTGAAATAGTAATTTGGGAAGTAGCAGTATAAAAGTGAGTAGCTGACCTTTTCTTCATGACCATTATCCATCTAACTAACCTCTCTGATTCCCCTTCCCTAGGTGCTAACTGATCTTGTTCAACTTTCATTTTTCCTTCAGCTAGGCTAGTTGTAGGAAGCCTTAGGGTTTGGGAGCAGAGAAGTGGCAACTTTTACCAAGGATTTCAAAGAACTTTAGAACTGTGGCCTTGTTTCTGTGTTGGTTCACTCCCCAGCTCCTGCCTCCCTCTCCTCCCCAGACACATACTGACTCTTACCCTCTCCCTCCCTCCCTGCCTCATTCTCTCCCTCCTTAACTTGCTCCCTTCCTCCCCTCCTTCTTTCCCTGTCACCTGCCCTCCAGTGATTTTTTTCCTTCACTCACCACCCCACCCTCCTTCGTTGCCCCTTACTCACCTGCTCACTTGAGCCCTCCCTCCCTCACTCTATCCCTTCCTCCTATGCCAGCTTGCTTGCTCCCTCCTCCCTTCCTCCTGCTTTTCCTCCCTTGCTCACTCCTTCCCTTGTTTCCTCCCTCCCTCACTCACCTGCTGGCTCCCTCTTTCTTTCCCTCTTGCTTCCTTCCCAGGCTCCCTCTCTTACTTGGTGGATAGATTCCTCTCTCCCTGGCTAGTCTACACCCTCCCTCCCTCCGTGGCTTGCTCTCTCATTTCCTCTCTTTCCCTTGCTCCCTCACCTGCTCTCTCCCTTCCTCACCTACTTTCTTCCCTCCCAGGCTCCCTCTTTTTATTCCTTGCTCACTCTCTCCCTTCCTCTTTTACTCCCTGTCCTGTTTTTTCCCTCCCTCCTTCTCTTACCCATTCCCTCCCTCCCTCTCTCCTTCCCTCGCTTGCTTTCCCTCCCTCCTTTGCTCCCTCCCTTCCTCCGAATTTCACAGGACCCCTCTTCTCCTCCCCTTCTATTCCTTTCCCCCTTCCTCCTTCCCTCCCTCCTTTGCTCTCTCCCTCTTTCCCTATGCGGCTTGCTCACTCTCTGCTTCTTTCCCTCTCTTTTCCTTTCCCTGGCTTACTTTCTCCCTGGCACACTCCCTTTCTCCCTTGCTAGCTCCATCTCTTCCTCCCTATCCCACAGGACCTCTCCCTCCCTCCCTCCTTCTTCCCTCTTTCCCTTCCTCCCTCCTTCCTTCCTCTCCCTCCCTTCTTTCTCTCACCCTCCCTCCCTATCTTCTTCCTTGTACCCTCCCTTTCACCCTCCATTCTCCTATTCTCCCTTTCATCCTCCTTTGTGCTTCCCTCCCTCCCTCCTTCCTTCTTCCCTCCCTCCTTGCCTCCCTCCTTCTCTCCTTCCTCTTTCTCTCTCTGTCCCTCATTCCTCCTACCCTTCCTCCCTCATTTCTTCTTCCCTCCCTCCCTTCTTTCTTCCTCCTACCCTTTCTTTCTCCCTTCTTCCTCCATCCTTCCTTCCCTTTCTCCTTCCCTCCCTCCCTCCTTGCTTATCTCCCTTCTTCCTCCTACTCTCCCTTTGTCCCTCCTTCCTCCTACCCTCCCTCTGCACCCTCCTTCCTCCTTCCCCCTCCTTTTTTCTACCTTCCTTCTCTCCCCTCTTCCTTTCTCCTTTTCCTCCTTCCCTTCTCCGTTTCCTCCTTCCCTCCCTCCCTTTTTACTCCTTCCCTTTCTTCCTCCCTTTTTCCTCCCACACTTCCTCCCTCCCACCTTCCTTCTACTTTCTTCTACTCTCCTTCTTCATACCCTCCTTTCCTCCTTCCTTTTTTCCTCCTTCCTTCCCTTACTCCTTCCTTCCTCCCCTTCTCCTTCCTTCCCTCCTTTTCTCCTTCCTTTGTTCCCTCTTTCTCTCCTTCCTCCTACCCTTTTTCTCCTTCCTTCCTCCTACCCTCTCTCCCACCCTCCTCCTGTCTACCCTTCCTTCGGCCCTCCCTCCTTCCTCCTCCCTTCCTTCCTCCCCTCCTTCCTCCCCTCCTTTCTCCCCTCCTTTCTCCTACACTCCTTTAGTCCCTAATTCCTCCTACCCTCTCTTCCTCCCTCCTTTTCCCCTCCCTACTCTTTTCCTCCCATTCTCCTTCTTCATCCTATCCTCCTTCCTTCCTCCTACCCTCTTTCCTTCTGCACCCCCCTTTCCCTCTATCCCTTCCTCCCTCCCTCCCTTCTTTCTCTTTTTCTCCCTTCCTCCTTCCTGTCCTCCCTCCTTTCTTCTTCCTTCTCTTCCTTTCTTTATCCCTCCCTCCCTCCATCCTTCCTCCTACCCTCTCCCCCCGCTTCTTTCTCCTTCCCTTTCTTTCTCCCTCATTCCTCCTACCCTCCCTTCCACCCTCTTTCCTTCCTTCCCTCCCTCCTTTCTCTTTGTCTCCCTCTGTCCCTTCTTCCTCCTACCCTCCCTTAGTCCCTCCTCCCTTCTTCCCTCCTTCCTCCTCCTCTCCCTCCCTCCTTTCTTCCACCCTCTTTCCTATACCCTCCTTCCTTCTGTTCCTCTTCTCTTCTTCCCAACCTCCATTCCTCCTTCCTCTTACCCTCCTTCCTCTTACCCTCCCTCCTTCCCTCTTTTTTCCTTCCCTCTTTTTTCCTTCCCTCTTTTCTCCTTCCCTCTCTCCCTCCTTTCTTTTTCTCTCCCTCCTTTCCTCCCTTCCTCCCTCCTTCCTCCTCCTTTCCTCCCTCCTTCCTCCTCCTTTCCTCCCTCCTTCCTCCTCCTTTCCTCCCTCCCTCCCTCCCTCCTTACTCCTCCTCCTCTTCTTCCTCCCTCCTTCCTTCCTCCTCCTCCTCTTCTCCCTCCCTCCTTCCTCCTCCTCCTCTTCTCCCTCCCTCCTTCCTCCTCCTCCTCTTCTCCTTCCCTCCTTCCTCCTCCCTCCTCCTCTTCTCCCTCCCTCCCTCCTCCCTCCTCCCTCTTCCTCCTCTTCTCCCTCCTCCTCCCTTCTCCCTCCCTTCCCTTCTCCTCCCCTTCTCCCTCCCTTCTTCCTCTTCCTCCCCTCCCTCCTTCCTCCTCCTCCTCCCTCCCTCCTCCTCCTCTTCTCCCTCCCTCCTCCTCCCCTCCCTTCCTCCCTATTTTCCACTTCCCTCCCTCTGTTTCTCCTTCCTTCTATCCTACCTCTCTCCCTCCTTCCTCCTTTCCTCCTTTCCTCCTTCCCTCCCCTTTTCTTCCTACCCTCCCTCCTTTCTCCTTCCCTCCCTCCCTCTCTTTTTCCTTCTACCCTTCCTCCCTCCCTCCCTCCCTGCTTTCTTGCCTCCCTTCCTTTCTTCTTCCTCCTGCCCTCCCTTTCTCCCTCCTTTTTCCCTCCTTCACTCCCTCCTTTATTCTCTCCCTGCTTTCTCCTTCTTTCCCTCCCTCCTTCCCCTCCTCCCTTGTTCCTCAGTCCCTCCCTTCCTTTCTTTTCCTTCTTCCCTCCCTTCTTCCCTCCTTTTTTCCCTCCCTTCTTTTTTTCTCCTTCCCTTATTCCATTTTCCCTTTGTTCTCCCTCTCTACTTCCTTCTTCCCTCCCTCTTTCCTACCTTCCCTCTTTCCTTCCTCCTTTCTTCCTTCTTTCCTCAACTGATCTTTTCTTTCCTCAGTTACTCAATCTTTTTCTTTTTCTTTTTCTCTTTCTCGGTGGCTTTTCTCACTCAGTTCTTGCCCCTCCCTCCCCACCCTGTGCCCACCTCCCCTCCTCTTTCCTTACCTCCCTTGTTCCCTCCCTTTGTTTCCTGCTTTCTCCCTGGCTGGTGCTCTCTGTGTCTTGGAGAGCTGTGCTGTGCCTTAGCTTCAGTGGTGTTAAGAACACTGCGGGTGGTCCCTGGCTGACAGAAAGGGGAAGGGAGGGTGGAAGTGAAAGAGAGGGAGGGAGGGAGTGGTGGGCACTTCTTAGCAAATCCTGGGAGTTGGAGCACCCCTCCTCTGTTGGCTAGGACAGAGGGCCCCTACCAAGTCCTATGGAGGAGGGGTGTCTTCCTCTCACAGGATTAAGAAGTACAGAAAGCCTTTTGTTTAGGGGAGGTGTGGAGATGGCATGAGGAGAGAAAGGAGACAGTAGCCGTTGCACAGAGCAGTGGAAGAGAGAGGTTCTTGCCCTGGTGTTGCCACTAGCTTGCTGTGTGAACCTGAGCACATCACTTTTCTCTGAGCCTAGGTTTCTTTGTCTGCCAAACCAAAGGGTTGGTCCTGTCTGTGATCCAAAAATAGGGAAAAGGTGGGGGAAGAAGGCTGTGGTGGGCAGTAAGCTGCAGGTAGGGAGAAGAATTAGGGGCCTTCCTGTGTCCTCATTGTTTCTCCAAACCAATGTTTGACCTCCAGAGGGCAGAGCACTGGAAGAACCTCCTGGGACAGAGGTTCTTCTTACCCTCAGCCTGGCCTGGCCCTCCCTTGTCTGACCTCTGGGCACCTCCGCACACTCTGCCCACTGCAGACCTTTGTTTCTGCTTATGTTTCCTCTGTGCCTGTCTGCCTCTCCCCCTCTCTCACTGCCGGATACCCTGTATTGCCCTCTTCAAACATCCTTACTCATTCCTTACCCTAGGACACAAAATACAGGCTTATTTTCTATCTCTAGCTCCCCTTTCCGTGGCTTCCTTCTGTTCCTCCCTCCAGAGCAGGCCTTAGATTTCCCATTCGTGGTTCTCAGAGGGCAGATTGCTACTCCTAGATCCTGTGCCCCATTATGTTGCTTCTGGCACTGTAAGAATCCACCCCCAGGAGGTCCTATCCTCTGTCTGGTGGTGGTGGTACAGTTTTGGGGCAGGCCTCTTCTGTCCTTTCTTTGGTTTACTTTTTCTGATGAGCCACTCACATCAACCAGAAGCTGAGTGTCAGAGCTACCCTGAAGATTTATGCCAGGAAATCCTTCACCCTTCTTCCCGCTGGCTTTTACCTCTAAGCAGAAAGGATGGGGCTGTCTGCCTGGTTGTCACCTCCTCTCCTTTCCACCCATAGGAGCACAACCCACCTTGTGTGGATGAGTTTGTGTACATCTGTGATGATAATTATCAGCGATATGAGATGCTCAACGTGGAAATCGACATCCTGAACGTCCTCAAATTTGACATTAACATTCCGGTCGCCTATCATTTTCTGCGAAGATATGCTAGGGTAAGAGAGAAGAGACACATCTTCATTCTCCCACTGCTGAGTTAGTCTCCTTTACACCCAGAGTAGCTGCCTGAGTGGTAGGAAAGGGGAAAGGGACAACAGGCAGCAGGGAGCATTCTCCTTCCATCCAACCTGCTAGGTTAAAGCTTGGCAATCTTTGTGAAACAATGGGAGGTGGGCGGGGGTGAGTTGCAGATTTCCACAGTGTGTCTATAAGGTTTTGAGGTGAGGCCGGAGTTGGGGAGGGGAAACGTTTCTTTGATCGGGGTGGGGGGGGGGGATGGACACGTGGAAAGCTTTGTAGGGGGATGCTGGCAATATTCTCGTTCTTTGCCTGAGTACTGGTTACAAGGGAGGTCACTTTATAATTCATTGTATTGTGCAGATGTGTACAATATACTTTTCTCTTTGTGTGTGTGATAGGTTGTAATTAAAAAAAAATAAGTTTAAACAAGAAAAGGGAAAAGGTTGTTTTGAAGTATGGAACACCTTCTAGGGAGGACCAGGAACAGAGTCACGGTGGGAGGAACTTTGGCTCTTTAAAGAATGACCCATATAGCAAGGGGGGATGTAGGCCAGTACCATACATACAGTTGATAATTTGATTAAAATCCTAAAGGTGGCAAATCCCACTGACTGTTTCAGAATGCCCCCTAAAGAGTCTGTTTTTGTGGGTAGAGAAGATGAGGTGAATTATGGTTGTAGGAGAAAGGCACATTACTCAAACAGAGGGCCACTGAGGCTCGGGATGATGTAACTGGAGAGGGAGTCCTCTGCTTGGTACCGGCTTTCTAAATTGATTTCTGAGCCAGTCTTCTCATTGCCTTTAGTGTATCCACACCAACATGAAGACACTGACCTTGTCCCGCTACATCTGTGAGATGACCCTGCAGGAATACAACTATGTCCAGGAGAAGGCTTCCAAGCTAGCTGCTGCCTCCTTACTACTGGCCCTCTACATGAAGAAGCTCGAATACTGGGTAAATGCTTGCGAGATAGGGGTGTGGGAACAGAGATTTAAAAAGCACAAGGTCAGCTCGGGGGAAGGTGTAAATTAGGGCCATGGGAAACTCTTGGGGACAAAACTGACACATACAATTATGAACTCTAACACCTGGACAACGGGACAAGGGCTTCTATAGCAATAGTTTTGAATTATGTCATTTTTCATAATCAAAGTACCCTTTGTTCCAAAGAAAGCTCACCTGAAAGCCAAATATTACACACCAGATTACTGTGAAGGTATTCTGGTTGTCATAGGGAGTAGTGTGATCCTACTTCTTATCCCCAGCCCTGTTCCCCTCTTGTCTCTTGCAATCCCCTCAGCAAGGCTGGCCCCTGAGGGAGCTTGTTGGAACAGGGTTTGAAAAGCACTGAGCCAGAGAAGAGTAGTGAAAGCAATCGTCTGTGTCTATAAAAGTGGCACTTGGGCATGACTATAGTGTTCTTCTGTGAAGAAGGCCCTCACAAAGCCTCCTGCTCCAATACAAATAAAAACTCATATTTGATGCTTTCTCAATTGTATGAAAAGTTGGGGGTAAAATCAACTTTAGTGAATTTTGCATTCTTACTGATGATATGTATAATATGTAATCCAAGTAGCAGGAGTATGCTCACAAATGCAGCCCCTCTGCTCAACCACTTCTGAGCTCCTCCTACCTAAAAATCCTGGAGCCACTGAGGGAAGAACCTCTGTGTGCTGAGAAAGAACCACATAAAGTACTTATGTGAACTTGGACAAGCCATATTAAAATTTCTTGAATCAGAGAAAGCATTCAATAGATGATAGTGATGATGAAAAAGAATAAATAATAATTATGACTGGCATTTATTGAGTGCTTAGACAGTGATCTAAGCACTTTGCATATTAACTCATTTAATCTCCACAATAACCCCACATGATAGTACTGTTATCCCTGTTTTGCAGATAAGAAATAACTCCCATGTTTACACAGCTGATGAGAGGTGGAGCTAGGCTTTGGAAACTAGGAGTGGTGTTCACAATCTAAACCAACTGTGTAATCAGAATGGGCATGGCCACAGCTCTGGAGCTAAGGGCCTGGAGGCCCCATGCTGAACCAGGCTTTGACCCTTGGATCCCATGGAAATCCAGTGGGCCAAGAGGGGGACAGCTGATGGGTCCAGGGCAGCAAACTGTGTGCCAACTAAGATAGAAATATTTCAGTGTTTTCACACTTGGTGACTAAACCAGGGCTTATCAGCTAAATGTCATCCTGAATCTGAACTCGGGTAGTCTGACTCCACAATCCTCTATGTTAGTATACTGCCTCTCCTATAGATAAGGAAGGCTTCACAGAAGAGGTGACTTTTGAGCTGGGTCTTGAAAGGTGTGTAGGAACTTGTGAGAGGAGACATTCTAGGTAGAGGAAGCAATAATTAAAAAGACACGAAGGCATTGAGGAGGGAGTATGTTGTGTTTAGGGCAGAATAAGACATCCCCTGTGGATACAGCAGAGTATTGTAAAAGGAGAGGTGCTAATGATGTTAGTGACAGATGAGACCAGAATGGTAGATCATGGTCCGATTGTGAAAGAAAGGCCTTGAAGGCTACACTAAGGCATTGAAGGATTTTTAGGCAGGGAGGTTGACCTGCTCCTGTTTGTGTGTTTTAGAAACAGTAGTGGTGTAGCAAAATAGAAGGTAGAGTAGATGAGAGAGAACACCAGTGAGCAGGCTATTATAACATAGTCAAGGTGAAGCATTTGAGAGTCTGAACTGACACAATGGCACTGGGGCCTTTTAATCTTATTTAACACATCCAGTCTACTCCATTACCCCCTTGTATTACTCCCCTACTCAGCACGCCAATGACCGCCCTTTGCCTGTGGTGGTGGTAGTTTCCAAACAGTATTTGGGGGAGTCCTGGGTTTCCTGCAGAAGTGTCTCAGGTACCATGTGAAAGATAAAGGGATCCAAATTCGTGGGCTTCTTAGCTCCCACCCTCACTTCCAGGTAAGCTATTTGGGCTTCCAGGTAAGATACTTGAAAAAGAGGAGTTCAAGGAAAATAAGACATTTTGAGGAAACCACCAAATCCTCTTCCTTTCTCTGTCTGTTGAGCTCCCCACTTCACCAACCATTGTGGACATGCACTCCTCTGTGAAGCTTTCTGTGACTCTCCCCACAGAGTTTGTGGGTCCTGCTGCTGTGTTCCTCCAGTGTCCTATGCTCACTTCCATTCTAGCACTTACCACATTTTTAACTCTCTGTTTGCACATCTGTCTCCTTTACTAGACTACAAACTCCTCAAGGGCAGGTCCGTCGTTCATTTTTGTGTTCCCAGGATCCTACGTATAGGGCTTGGTAATCCTAGTTAGCATTGTTTGGGCACTTACTATATGCCAGACTCTGTTCTATGTATGATACACACACACACACACACACACACACACACACACACACACACATTTAACCCTATGATGGAATTACTGTAATAATCCCCATTTGGCAGATTGGGAAACTGAGGCCCCAAGAGGTTAATTAACTGGCTCCAGGCCAAGCTGTTAGGGGAACTGAAATTTGACCTGAAGCATTTTGCCTCCAGGACCTCTGCCCTTAAACATTGCTATACCGCTTCTGTCACATAATAGGCATTCTTAGCTGAGTGAGAAAATGAACCTGTGCAATGATAGCTGTTACAGTCGGAGAGGAGGATCAGCCTTAAGTTCACATTGGCAGTTGAGTTGGCACCTAAACTTTGTTCTAGGGTTTACCTGGCCATTAGCTCTGGACCTGAGAGTGAGTAAATTACAAAATCGGTCCTGTTCCTTAGGACTGGTGGATTTCTGCTTACATGAACATCCGTGACCAGGGCTAATATCTTTTTTGTTATTGTTGTTAAGAGATAGGGTCTTGCTCTGTTACCCAGGCTGGAGTGCAGTGGTGCGATCATAGCTCACTGCAGCCTCGAACTCCTGGGCTCGAGTGATCCTCCTGCCTCAGCCTCCCAAGTAGCTGGGACTACAGGTCCACACCACCATGCCCAGATAATTTTTTAATTTTTTTATAGAGATAGAGTCTTGCTGTGTTGCCCAGGCTGGTCTTGAATTCCTGGGCTCAAGCAGTCCTCCTGCCTCGGGCTTCTAATGTGCTGCGATTACAGGCATGATCCCTACCACACCTGGCCAAGAGCTAATATCTAACTGGTACGTATGGATATAGCCATCTCAGTAGTTTGTGGCTGGAACCTATTCTTCTGTATAGCATAGTATAATTATTGATCAGCATCCATACTATGTGAGTCTTTGAAATGTTTTGAATGTCATCTCTGTTTAAACCATGTGTGGGAAGCTTAGACTTGGGATAGCAGAGATGGAGGGAGGATTGTGCTTCCTGTAGTAGAAATCACTATTCATGCTGCTTCTTCCAGGTTCCCTTCCTGGAGTATTACAGTGGCTACAGTATCTCTGAGCTTCACCCCTTGGTCAGACGGCTGAACAAACTGCTGACTTTCAGTTCTTACGATAGTCTCAAGGCTGTATATTACAAGTATTCTCACCCGTAAGTACCAAGCCCCGGATGAGGTTGGGTTTGTGTTCATTTATGGGGAAGCTTTAAAATACTAGACCCAGACTAGCCTCACTTAAGAGAAAAAGATTCAGGCACTTTTCACCTTCCTTTCTACTCTAGGGTTAAAGCAAGATAGGGAACTAAGGGCCATATGTCCCACTTGTTCCATGGAGCCTGATTGTATTTGCCCTATTCTATACTGAGGAGACCCCTCTTCCTTTTGCAGGGTCTTCTTTGAAGTCGCCAAAATCCCCGCCTTGGATATGTTGAAGCTGGAGGAGATTTTGAACTGCTGATTGTGAGGCCAAGGGCGTGGTACTCTAGCAGCAGCCACAGGACTAGGCATGCATGTTAATAGGGTATATTTATTCTGTGTTTGAATTTGTCTTTTGATTGCTTTTATTCATTTTTCCTCTCTTTGTCTTTTCCCAAACTGATAATGTTATAAATATTTATGTTGTTTGTTTTTATGAAAGAAAAAAATATTGTCATATTTGACTACAAATTTAATAAAAAATTAATAGTTATTGTTAAAATGGCTCATCTCCCCTCTTATTGTTCAGGAATCCCATGCACAGCTGAATAATTCTTTTTTTCTTCCTAGTCAAGGCTGGGCCCCAGGGCCTAGGTTACCCAATTCCCTCCTCTGTTTAGAAGCCTTCTCCTCATGGGAAGAGGAATTGAGCTAACTGTGAACTGATGGATGGAGCTACAGAAGGAGGTGCCCAGTCCAAGGAGAAAGCTCCTTACCTGACAGGCAGGCCTCTCTGTTCAGAGCTGGGCAGCTGGCAGTGTAGGCTAATACCCTTTGGTCTCAATCTCAGGTATTTTGCTTTCTTTGCTTCTTCCTAGATGATGAAAAGTTGGGGATCAGGATTTTAATCCAAATGTAGCCTTGCTTTCAATTTGGCAGCTTTTTAGAGTCCAAATTTGAAAATACTCTTGGAGTGGTATGTGCTGAAATCATTTTTGGCCCTTGTCTTCTGCCAAGAGAAGAAATTCCTACCTGTGAAATTGGCAAGGTGTCCCATAAATGCAAGCATCAACGACTTGCCCAATCTTTAACTCATATAGCATTAAGAGGTTCTGCTTTCTTTTTCACTGTGCCCTACCTTTGGGGTGATGTGTACTGGGACAGTTACTTAAATTGTTAATGGAGGAGTGGAACATCCGGTATGCCAGTTGTTCAAGAGCCGCTCCTCAGTCTCACCCCAGGACCTCCCCACAATCCAGCATGTAAAGTCTACCACAGCAGGAGACCTCTAGTACTCTATTCTAGTATTGTAGCTGGCAGTTATGCTGATTGGTCTGTGACCATTTGTTACCACTTGTCAAATATTTTGAATATCAGTCCTGGAGGGTGGACATTTGGTGGAGAGGACAATCAAGGAAGCAGTTACGGGGAAAATGCCTCTTCAATTCTGTCCCAAGACTCTCCATGCTATTGTAATTACATCACCTTTTCTGATGGGTTAGAGACAGATGGATGAGCATGCCAAGTCCTTAGGTGTCTCAGCGCTTTCCTTCCCTTTGAATCAGTTTCCCATTCTTCTCCTGACTTGCTTTGCCTTGGAGACCAGACATCACTAGGTTTCCTCCTGCCCCATTCCACTGTGTTGCAAGATGACTAAAGGTACAGCCAGAGAGGTCCAACCTGCTCAGCAGTGATTCTGCGGGCACAGCCAGCTTTGCATGAACATGCTAAAAGCATTAGGCTGGAAGCCATCTTGCAAGTCTCCAGCCTTACTAGAAGGATGTGTCGTGTACCTGCTTTTGAATTCTGGAGCTTTACGTCAAGGGAAAAAAAATTAACCGGTTGAATTATTTCCCCCTTTTTACCAACCCTGTTCTTTAAAGGTGCTAATGAAACCATCCGTAATTTTTGTTGTTTTTGCAATGCGTCAACATTTATTTTGCACACACTCATCACTACTTCAAAATTAAGATAGCTGTTAGAACTGGATCTTGTTAAAAGTGGGTGCAAAAGTTATCGTGGTTTTTATGGCAAAAACCGGGATAACTTTTGCACCAACCTAATATTTAGTGCCTTATTAAATAAGCATATCTATTTCTTTATCAGGAATTTGCTGGCCCAGTGAGGTGGCTCACACCTGTCATCCCAAAACTTAGAGAGGCCAAGGAGGGAAGATCACTTCAGCCCAGGAGTTCGAGACCCACCTGGGCAATACAGTGAGACCCTGTCTCTACAAAAAGTTAAAAAGTTAGCCAGGTATAGTGACTCATGCCTGTGGTCCCAGCTACTCAGGAGGCTGAGGCAGGAGGATCACTTGAGCCCAGAAAGCAGATGTTGCAGTAAGCCATGATCATGCCACTGTACTCCAGTCTGGGCAATAGAGCAAGATCCTGCTTCAAAAAAAAATTTGCTTTTATATTTTGATGACTCTCTCTCTATATATAAATAAAACTAGCTTTCTTTGTAACCTTATGTATTTTTAACAGTTTTGTTTTCTTAACTGGATGCAAATTATTTTATTTCTGTATGTATATATAACTTTATATCTGCCTATACCTTTAAGATCATAACAGTTTAAAAAACAAAACTAAAAAATGCTAAAAGTTTAAATAAACCACAAAATCATCTATATAGGTCATAAAAACACTCTGGTAGAGAAATGTGCCCAGTAATTCATAAGTAAAACAAACATAGCCTGTGAAATAATGTGACATGCTTAGAAAAATGCCTGACACATAGCATAAATATCTAATAAATGGTGGTGGTACTCTCTGGTAGCAGAAGGGGCACAGAGTGGCTACAGAGGTAAGGAGGGGTGAGACTGTTAAAAAAAGAAAAAAAAAAGGCCTGGCTGGGCACGGTGGCTCACTCCTGTAATCCCAGCACTTGGGGAGGGTGAAACGGGTGGATCACAAGGTCAGGAGTTCGAGACCAGCCTGGCCAATATGGTGAAACCCCATCTCTACTAAAAATACAAAAAGTTAGCCAGATGTGGTGGCAGGCGCCTGTAGTCCCAGCTACTTGGGAGGCTGAGGCAGGAGAATCGCTCGAACCCGGGAGGCGGGGGTTGCAGTGAGCTGAGATCATGCCACTCACTCCAGCCTGGGTGACAGAGTGAAACTCCTTCTCAAAAAAGAAAAAAAAAAGGCTTAATTGGTATGTTGAAGGTTTTTATGCTAAGAGTTTTGATTTGGGAGACATAATCAATCAAGGTTCAGTCAGAAAACAGAAACCACTCCAGTTATATTTCAAACAGAGGAAATTTAATACAGGGAATTGGTTACTCAAGGACAGAAGAGCTAAGAAGTCACACACACAGTGTGAAGCTTCTGTTATACTTAGGGCTGGAGGAACAGTAGCGAAGAGGTGGTGTCACCAGAGCCCCAGATGCCAGGGATATAAGCTGAATTTGGAACCGGTGATCAGTTGGGACCAATGAGGGTAGGACTGATGAAAGAAGGCTGGAGCCAGGAAGGAAACAAAATTACTGCCAGACCTATTGCTGGAGGCAGAGTGAGAAAGGAAATAGCCTGACTTCTTTATATTTCAATAGTTTTTGGGGAACAGGTGGTTTTTTGTTACATGGCTAAGTTATTTAGTGGTGATTCCTGAGATTTTGGTGCACCTGTTACCCAAGCAGTATACACTGTACCCTATGTGGGTAGTCTTTTATCCCTCACCCACTCCCACTCTTCCCCCCAACTCCCCAAAGTCCATTATATCATTTTTGTACCTTTGCATCCTAATAGCTTAGCTCCCACTTATAAGTGAGAACATATGCTATTTGGTTTTTCATTGCTGAGCTACTTCACTTAGAAAAATGGTCTCCATTTTTCTCCAACTCCATCCAAGTTGCTGTAAATGCCATTATTTTGTTCCCTTTTATGGCTGAGTAGTATTCCATGGCGTATATATACCACATTTTCCCTGTCTACTCATTGGTTGATGGGCATTTAGGTTGGTTCCATATTTTTGCAATTGTGAATTATGCTGCTATAAACATGCGTGTGCAAGTGTCTTTTTCATATAATGACTTATTTTCCTTTGCGTGCATACCCAGTAGTGAGATCACTGAATTAAATGTTAGTTCTACTTTTAGTTCTTTAAGAAATCTCCATACTGTTTTCCATAGTGGTTGTTCTAGTTTACATTCCCATCAGCAGTGTAAAGGTGTTCCTTTTTCATCACATCCACACCAGCATCTATTATTTTTTGACTTTTTTGGAGTAAGGTGGCATCTCATTGTGGTTTTAATTTGTATTTCCCTGATAATTAGCAATGTTGAACATTTTTCCATATGTTTGTTAGCCATTTGTATATCTTCTTTTGAGAATTGTCTATTCATGTCCTTTGCCTACTTTTTGATGGGGTTGTTTTTTTCTTGTTGATTTGAGTTCCTTGTAGATTCTGGATATTAGTCCTTTGTCAGATGCATAGTTTGTGAATATTTTTTCCCACTCTATGGGTTGTCTGTTTACTCTGCTGATTATTTCTTTTGCTGTGCAGTAGCTTTTTAGTTTAATTAGGTCCCATTTATTTATTTTTGTTTTTGTTGCATTTTCTTTTTGGTTCTTGGTCATGAATTATTTGCCTAAGCAACGTCTAGAAGAGTTTTTCCCTATGTTAACTTCTAGAATTTTTATGGTTTCAGGTCTTAGATGTATGATTTTTGTATAAGGTGAGATATGAGAATCTAGTTTTATTCTTCTAATTCTTCAAATTGGCTTGCCAATTATCCCAACACCATTTGTTGAATAGGGCGTCCTTTCCCCACTTTGTTTTTGTTTGCTTTGTTGAAGATCAGTTGGCTGTACATATTTGGCTTTATTTCTGGGTTCTCTATTCTGTTCCATTGGTCTATGTGCCTATTTTTATACCAGTAGCATCCTGTTTTGGTAACTATACCCTTATGGTATGGTTTGAAGTCGAGTAATGTGATGCTTCAGATTTGTTCTTTTTGAACATCTTGCTTTGGCTCTGTGGGCTCTTTTTTGGTTCTATATGAATTTTAGGATTGTATTTTCTAGTCCTGTGAAGAGTGATGGTGGTATTTTAATGGGAATTGCATTGAATCTGTAGGTTGCTTTTGGCAGTATGGTTGTTAAGTATATTCCTAAGTATTTTATTTTTATTTTTTGCAGCTGTTGTAAAAGGGATTGAGTTCTTGATTTGATTCTCAGCGTGGTCGTTGTTGTTGTTCAGCAGTACTGTTGATTTGTGTACATTGACTTTGTATACTGAAACTTTATGGAATTCATTTATCAGATCTAGGAGCTCTTTGGACGAGTCTTCAGGGTTTACACATACCATATGATTCACTCACTTAAAGTGTATAATTCAGGCCGGGCTTGGTGGCTCATGCCTGTAATCCCAACACTTTGGGAGACTGAGGTAGGAGGATTGCTTGGACCCAGGAGTTCAAGATCAGCCTGGGCGACATAGTAAGACCCTGTTTCTACAAAAAATTTAAAAATATTAAAAAAAACTAAAAAGTATGTAATTCAAGTTTTCGGTATATTCAGTTTTGTGGTTGGGCACGGTGGCTCATGCCTGTAATCCCAG